TCGCTTGGAAGCAATCCAACAGTTCCTTTTTCGTCGGCTATCATTAAGATCTTTAAGGCTATTCGGGTTACCGGCTAAAGCTCTAGCTTAATAATATCCGTATCTTTAAGCTTGCTTTTAGCGATTTCTATACCTTTAATTTCTCTTTTATTAATACGTAGCTTTTTAAAAGATATAAATAGCTTGCCGGTACGTCCGAAAGTGCTAGATCCTCTTTTCGAGTTATTAAGATTAAGCACGGAAATCTATACGCTATCTTTAATGAAAGTTGATTTTATTTAAAATGCTTTTAGGTTTTGGCGGGTTCTTTTTTAGCGTATAGCTTTCGTAGCTTCGAGTATTATTTAGTCCGATGATGATCTCAAGACTTTTATTATTATTGCTATTAAGCCTAAGCTTTTTAAAAAACTAAGTATAGCTTTTAAGAAAAGGGTTTAAAAGCCGCTAAAGTGATTTTAGCTCTTCTTAAATAATTAGCGTATTGCGTAGCGATTAATGGATTAAAAGCGTTGAGTACGTTAAAGTACTTCGTCGTAGCTTTTCGTTAGATTATATAACGTAAGTCCGTAATTCTGCTATTTGCTTTGCTATTACTTTTATATTTTGCTTTATATCTTTTTTTTCTTTCGCAAACTCTTCGCGTAACTTTCGAATCTTTTTCCTTTCTTCCTTTTCCTTTCCTTTTGGACTTCGTAAAGGTGGTAAAAGTAGTTAAAGCGTATTATCTTTGTCGTCCGTAAGGTTTTCGGCGGTCCACTTCGAATTGAGGCTTAAGAGTGTTGCTTATTGCTTTTTTATTTTTTAAAAGGTCTATTAGTGTTACTGCTCGTCGTTTAAAAGCTTGACTATCTTATTAGCGTAGCTCTTTTGCTTTAAGGGGCACCATACGCTTTTAAATAGCAAGTGTTCTTTGAAGCTAATAAGAGTAGTAAACTTAAGGCTTCGTTTCGTATTATCCTTCGTCATCGTAAAACTCGTCTAATCTTAGCGTGAGAAAGCGTACCGGAATAAGCTTTATAAGTCGTAATCTTTTAATCCTTTATACTTCGCATCTAAGAAGTCCTTTATTATTGCTCGAGCCGTAATCTTATTATCGGGCCTTACGTATAATAGCTCGTTTAAGTCAAATAAGATGCTCGATATCTCATTGTTTGGTCCTTTCGAGAGGCTTAGGAGTCTTAAGTATAGTAGTCCTTTTAGCTGAATAACTAAAGGTTCCGTAGGTAGTGATAAGACTCGAAGGGTATAATACCTTATTGTTCTTTGTCGGCTGGATTTCTTATTTAAAGGTTTAGTTGCTTAATCGGCTATAGTAATTGTCTACTCGTACGTAGATCGATCGTATTAGTTGGGTTTGCTGTGTGTAGCAAGCGCGGCTTTATAGCTTTAAAGGTTGTATAAAAGTGATTTAGTTCGGAATCACTCTTTCGTAAGAATAAGGAAAATCGGTAATATAAAAAGCGACTTGGTACGGAATCGCTTTTCCGTTATAAAAGGAAGGAAGTATCGTAATAAAAGGTATCCTCGTTATAGAGTCTTAGCTTCTTTATGATTGATCACTTAATAGTAATTCAATTACTGATTAGTATTGGATTGCTTTCAAGCGATTGGGAATATATATTCGTAAGGTCGTAACGGTCGTCAAAGTACTTGCAATTGCAAAACACTCGGTTGATAAGGTATCTGAATTCTGTCTGCTCCTTAAGGCTCAGGGGAGCTGATTCCTTTTATACTATTAGAAGGAATCACGTGCACTAGCTAGCTAATAGGTTTACTTGTCAAGTTGAGGGTCCCTTGACTGCTGACATGCTAAGCGAGGCATGCCAAGTGGCCCGTGAACCATGGTTCACGGGTGAGCTTCCCCAACTACTACTACTACTACTACTACTAGCTAAGGTCGATATGGATATACCGACACTATCTTTCGAAGAAGCTCTAATATGTCTCTTATAAATTGTCACTTATAGCGTAGCGATAATCATCCTTGAATATATCGAGGGCTCGAATAATATACGAATAAACGCAACCTTAAGTCCATTTGATCTTATTAAAAGGGTCGAAATCGTTAGCTTCTTATACCTCTCGGTCGACCTTGAATTTGCTTCGAAGAGTCTATTCGAGCTCTTCGAAGCTACCTGCTAAAAGCCGAATAGATTTCTTTAAGAAAAGGGGAGGGAGGGAGGTCTTCGAATTCGTGAGAGAGAGGGTTTCTGTTTCTATTATCCGCTATATTAGCGGCGGTAATTGCGTAATAGACGCTACAACTAATAATAGTATTGCTAATTGTATTAGGTTTCCGCTAGACTTGTTAAGAACTAACGGTTGCTTATAGCGTAATTAATACCTTTAAAAGGGCAAAAACTACCTCTTCTTTTTTATACTTAGCTCATTTATAATTAAGTGTGAATTTAACTACTGATCAATATTAGTTACACAATAGGGTGCACACGTAAGACTCGATACGAATGGCAAGTGGTTGCATTCGTAATGTTATTAAGTCTGAGGGAGGAAGGAAGCTATTCTAGCTGCGAGGTGCAGTTACATATAGGTGGTTGCTATGCCAAGGGTGCACGTGCCAACCTTATCCCCGATCGAGTCCTTAACTCCGATCCCCTCATTCCCACAGTTATATATATATATAACAGTGTATTCACTAGCTCCCAATTGACTAACGATCAGATAAAATAAAAAATGAGCAATCAAGATCTCGCTCGCCCATTATTATACTCCGTAGTCCTTCAGTCCAGTCAATTAATTCACCAGAAGCCGAAATATCGGAAATCGAAACTGAAACCGGCGGTACTTTCCAAAATTCAATTAATACTTCCTTACATTTATTTGCTTTTCGTTTTTCGCCCATCGAGGTAGTTAGGTGGTTAGTTGGTTCCCTTCCCTTCCGTATTAGGTAGGAGTGAAGATAAGAGGATGAGGAAGGGGAAGAGGAAGAGGTAGGTAAGGTGGATTGGACAGGATAGATACTGTAGGTCTTGTCTCCTAATTTCTAATCCTTTTTCCCCCTTCTCCTTTTCTTCTATCGTTCTTTTTATAATCCTTTTTTTTCTAATTGTTTTTTTCTAACTGCTTATTTCAAATTGTTTTTTTCTGATTATTTTTTTCTGATTGTTTTTTTCTGATTGTTTTTTTCTGATTGTTTTTTTCTGATTGTTTTTTTCTGATTGTTTTTTTCTGATTGTTTTTTTCTGTATTGTTTTTTCTGATTGGTTTTTCCTAATTGTTTTTTTCTAATTGTTTTTTCTAATTGTTTTCTTCTGAATGTTTTTTTTTCTAATTGGTTTTTTCTAATTGTCTTTTTCCAATTTTTTTTTTTCCAATTTTTTTTTTCTAAATTTTTTTTTCTAAATTTTTTTTTCTAAATTTTTTTTTCTAAATTTTTTTTCTAAATTTTTTTTCTAATTTTTTCTCTAGTTTTTTTTTTCTTTTTTTTCCCCCCCTAATCTCTCTCCCACCACCCCTCCCCCGTCCCCCTCCTCCCCCCCTTCCCTTTTCTTCTATCGTTCTTTTTCTAATCTTTCTTTTCTGATTGTTTCCTTTCCCCCTTTTTCTTTTATCGTTCTTCTCTTTAACCAGTTCCTTTTGCTAATCCTTTTTTGGGGGGGGAGCGACGGGGAGGCTTTAAACTCCATCATTTTATCCCATCCCATCTCACCCTTATCCCTTTTCCTAACCCTCATCCTTCAATCTCATCTCTCCTCCAATTTTTCATCTTATCGCCTCCTGCATATATGGATTTATTAATAATTAATAAAAAAAAAGATGAAAAAAAAAAACAATATATATATATATATAGCGAGACACTCCCCCTTTTATTATATATATAGCTCAACCACTTCCCTTTTTTACCTAGGGCTCTTTCTTAAGGGACTTAATAAAAAAAAATCTTAGAATCCCAGAGCCTAAAGAAACAGAAACGAAAGGGGAAACCTTTTCGTTCATTCTATCTTCTTACCCTGGTCTATCTTCCGAG